CTAGAGGTCAGCTGGAGGAAAGAGTAGGGGAGGGGATCTACCTCTCCAGCTCCTCACAGAGTGGCCGGGCAGCCCAGGTCCGGCAGTGCCCTCTACTGCAGTGGAAATCTCCTCTATGGGTGGGCCATTCCTCCTCCACAGCGAACTCTCTCCAGACTGCATTCACTTCTCTACCATTTGCTTCTCTGTCCTGGGGAGATACAATTCTGCTCACCACTACTAGTTTCCCTGGGAAACGACACTATCCCTCGTGGTTTTCCAACAGTGTGTCACATTTTTGGAAAGTAATCCTTTTACTGCATATTTGGCAAATACTAAATCTGACTGGATCACATATATCATATGGGGACCCTAATGAGAACCACTTAGATGTGACCTTCTGCCATTTAGTCACTGTCCATAACCTACATTCCTCCTTGGCACAATAAGAATCACATTACCTGTTTTTCAGCATTTTTGTAGAAAACAAAATAGATAAAAATCCTTTTTTTGGGGGGGAGGGGGGGAGAGGTTTTAGCTATAGGGTATGTATGCTCACCAGAAAGACAGAGAGAGAGACAGAGAGACAGAATTGGGCCTATACGCACACGCACCTGGCGTGAGTTTAAGCCACTGGGTCCAGGATTTGAACAGCAAATGATCACATGGGAGTCCAGCGACATAGCCATTACACCAACTGCTGGTCCCAATAAAAATCCTTTTTAAAATCAAGCAACTCAAGCTCCATATAATCAATGATATAAGTGTAATATCATAAAACTAAATTATATAAAAAATTTTGCTCTGGGGAATGTGCACTCAGTGAAGACAGAAAGAGTGAGAAAGAAGGAAAGTGAAAACGCACCCCCCGGGAAAACAGCCATATCACTATACCTTCTCTTGCATCTTCCTCTCAGGATCTTGGGCACCCACACACACGTCCATGTGTTTTAAGTTGTTAAATCCAGGACATGAACCGTGCAGTGAAACATTTGAAATATAACTGCCTTAACCACCATGCGACTGGCTGGGTCCTGTCAAAATAAATTTCCACATAGACAAAGTGGAAAAGACAGAAGGCAAACTGGATAAAATGCTTGTCGTACATTCATTAAACAAACTTTTTAATATATTCTCAATCCTTATTAATTAATGGAAATAACTAGAAAATGAATATAATAGAAAAATGGCTAAGAGTAGTAAGAGGAAAAACAAATGAATTTAACATTTTTAAAGGATGCTCAACCACACACCTTGTGAAAAGAAATGCAAATTACAACCACAATGAGATATGTTTTTTGTTGTTTTTACCTATTGAATTGAAAAAGATCAGAAAGTAGGATAATGCATTCTGTTGATGAGTATGTCAGGTAATCTGAACTCCCATACATCATCGACAGGAATATGAATTGGTACAACTTCTTTGGAGTGAAATTTAACAAAACCTAATAAATAAAATATGTGCATATCCTCTGGCCTGGCAATTTCACTTCCAGGAATTAATTTTTCAGCTATCTATACACAAGTGAACAAAGCATGTACAAAGCTATTCATTATAGCATTGTTTGCAGACTCAGAGGATGGAAATGCTCTAAGTTTCCATCATCATCAAAGTAGTCGAGCTAGCTGGAGCTAGAATTCCCAGAATGCCTTGTAAGTCTCTGGATTAAAGCTCACCACAGAGAACGTGCAAGACACACGGGCCAGAATTCAAGTGTTTGTTGAGTATGGAGGCTGCTGCTCAGCAGGTACTGTTGCCCCTTTTAAACAGGCTGCTTGCTGGCTTGTAGCCAGGGATATAGAGGTTACTACATTTCTTCCTGCTCGGTCTCTGAATGTTGGCCAGGTGTGAGTTTGGCCTACAGGTCCTCTGAATGGTCAACGATAACAATGTTGAGTTAAAAATATAGTTTTACTTTATCCTTGTGGATTCCAATTTGTCCTCAATCACCCCCATGTCACACCCAACTTCTGACCCTTCCACCTTCAGACTGAGCTCCAGTTGACAGATACACCTAGATTATAACAGCCCCCACGCTGCTTAAGGCCTAATTATTCTAAGTCTTTCAGAGGCCCTGCATCCTTGATCAAAACCCAACTCATACCATTAGTTCAATAAATCATGAGGATTATAATGTCAACAAAAATAATGACGTGGATTTTTTATGAACATAAAGCAATGTCCAAGATCATATTAAGTGGTAAAAATAAGGTTTATAATAATGCATATGCTACTTTTTGGGTTGAAAAAGCTATGCACGCACATATGCTAAACATTACCTTATACATACGCTTCATACTCATCATGGACTACTGCTGAAAAGATACATAAAAACTGGTTATTCTTGGAGGTAGAGAACTGGTAATGACAAGGAGGATGCTGTTTCATTACGTATGTTTTGCACTGCTTGATTTCTTTTCCATGCACTCATTTTAATTTTTAAAATATTAATATAGATATTTTAAAAATGAATTAACTCACTGAAATATCCTTGCCTAAATCTCCCGAGCATAAGAAGTTCCCAGTAAACATCAGCCTCCTCTCAGTACTTACATCACTTTCTATGCAGGTTTGCCCCAAGTTTCTTGCCTTCAGGAAACAAGATATCTATGTTCGGTGCTATGGGCACAATGAATAGCATAGATCAGGAATGACTAGGTGCTCATCTACTTTAATGAATCTGAAAGCCAACAACACATCTAACAGTAAGGGCATTGCTGCTCGTGAGGTCAGTAGTGGAAGTAGACAAGAAACAGATAACCAATTGCTTCTTGTTGAAGCAAACAAAAAGATGATCTTAAAAGTATAACAAGGTGGGAGCCAGCAGTTAGCGTAATGGCTATGTCGCTGGACTACCACATAGTTGACCGCGGTTCACATCCCGGACCCGGTGGCTTAAAACTCACGCCGGGCACGTGTGCATGCGTGCCCAAGATCCCAAGAGGAGAATGGAGGAGAAGGGATTGTGGCATGACCATCCCCCCGGGGGGTGATTTTTTGCTTTCTGTCTCTCTGTCTCTCTCTGGCGAGTGCACACACCCTATAGCAAAAACCTCTCCAAAAAAAAAAAAAAAAAAAGTATAACAAGCCACATGGTGGAGAGAAACATTTCCTGTGACTATCAGATTTCTACATATTGCTTACCTTTTTGGGGGAAAAGAAGTATGAACTTACACTATCTGAAGAGTCGAAATACTTATATGTAATAAAAAAAAATCTCACTCTCTAAATTTCCCTTTTTTCCCTACATTTATAGCTAAAATGTTTAAGAATATATTTATCTATATGTATGTGTATATATAGGTGTGCACATGTGTATTTACATACATTTTATGAGTATGGTGTATATGTGTGTATACTAGAATTTTAGGGATTTTTGATTATTTATGAGAACAAAAAGAGGTTCCTCTGAATTCACAGTGAGGAAGATATGCAATCAAGCTTACTGTATAATAGCAAAAAATATCTATGGAAGATTATAAATTTTGTGAAATACTCATATACAAATATAAAATAATCTGGTCAAAATATAACTTAACCTTATTGCCTTGAATAAGGCATAGTTTTGACTAACTGATTTTAGAAATAAAAGTCTCATATTATGGGCTGTAGGCAGATAAAACCAAACTCTGTCTAGATGTTTATACATTCATTCTTTTCTACATCACACCCCTCGAGTTATTCCTGTGGGATCACAGTAAGATTACCTTGATATACAAAGGCCATTCCTCCTGCCCCCTCCCATGTACTGCTCCCACCCCTGCATGTAAAGTAGGATAATCTTTGGAGGGAAGTAATAGGGCAAATGGATTTCCAAAATTGCCCAGAAAGAAGGAAGAACAGGTGTGAGAGAGGAAGAGCTATCACAGAAATGAATTAACAATCAGCGAAATGCCCTGAGATCACAAAAGACCACTCCATCACATTCCTGTTTTCAAGGTGTCTTCTGCCTGGTCCTGGCCATTTCTGTAAAGGAAAGCAAAGTGAAAAAAAAAAAAAAAAAAAAAAAAAAAAAAATTTTACCTAAAAAAGAA